CACAATTAGAATAATAATAGGCAAAAATAACCTCATGAGCATAAATAATAGTGAAACTTAGTAAAATAAGTAGCAGTTATTAAGTTTTTAACATGTAATATCTTGGACTTCCCTGATGGTACAGTGGATAAGAATCTGCCTACCCATGCAGGGGACACAGGTTTGATCCCTGGGCTGAGAAGATCCCACATGCCACAGAGCAACTAAGCGCATATGTCACAACTACTCAGCCCATGCTCTAGATCCCACAAGCTGCAACTATTGAGCCCACGTGCTGCGGTTACTGAAGCTTCTGCACCCTGGAGCCTGTGCTCTGCAAGAAAGAAGCCAACACAATGAGAAGCCCGAGCACCACAACTAGACAGTAGCCCCCACTCTCTGCATAAACAAAAATGAAAATAAATAATGTAAAATTGTAATATCTTTGTTTCAATATAATTTCTTTAATTGTACATTTACACAATTTAATTTGTAATAACGGTCATGTTTAACAACTGGCTTACAAGGTTCCTTATCATGAGCTAGTGGGAGTTGGGTCCATCATACTACTTCCCCAGCTGACTCAGAAATGTGTAGAGGAAAACAAACAATTGTTTTAAGTCACCGTGACTTGTTTTACAGCAAGGAGTGTATATGGGGGTGACTTGTTATACAACAGTACTGTGGCAATAGTTAACCGATCCATCGCCCCAAAGTTGGGTCAAAGTATCCAAGATTCCCTTTCCAAATTCCCAGAGCAAGGCCCTTTGGGAATCATAAGGTCACATATGCAGTCACAGCCCATAAGGTTTGGGACAATCACCTCCTTGCCCTGCCAAAGGATATGATTAAATGTGCTTAAATTCCAATCTGAGCCCTGGACTGGGAGTCAGGAGGCACATCCCTGCGCCCAAAATTCTGGAGACCAAGCTTAAACAAGATATTTCCCATTTGTCTCCATCCTCGACCCTTTGACATGTCCCTACTGAGACCCACTGATGACTCTTACCACCCAGCCTGGTGTAAAACTGGTCCCTCTCGCTGGATGTCAGAGCCTCTTTGGATTTGTATGGCCCCTCCCTACTGAGGACCATACCTCCACTCGCAGTCCCAGTGCCTGCTCACAGCCCCATGCAGAAATACAACTGTACTTTCTATAGTTCTTGTTATGGGGAAACTTTGCCATTTCCTCCCTCTTTACAAACATTTTAACTATTCTGGAGCATAAGGCATACTCTCTCAACACACATCGTTCCCCCACAGGTCCCTCCTCTTCAAGTCACACTGCCCAGTAAGCAGGTCAATTTGCCAAACAATCCTTCGGCTGAGTGACCAGTTTGCCAGACTGCTGAGGATGTTTTTGATGTCTTCCTTTCATCTCACAGCCAGGACCCATGAGCCTGTCGGCCCAGCTCCACCGAGGGCCATTTCCTTGCTTTCTGACACCTACACTTCTCAGGTGCTCCGTAAGTGCCCTCAGCACCCACTGTCCCACCTGCAACTCCTGCCTTCCCCAGGTCAGCCTGCTCACACACGCAGCACATCCTACTCTCAGCCCCCAAGTCACACTAGCCCTCTTGCCTCCCCTCCGTGCAAAGGCGTGCTGGAGCCAGTTGTCACAGGTGCATGAAAGCCAGCTGTGCACATCTCCTCTCAGCTCTGTACTCAGTGATGCCATATTGGTAGCTTGAAATCAGCCAAAGTTAGCAAAGGTTACAAATCAATCCCATCCCCTCTCCCACTCTGGCTGCAGTGGGTTGTTAAACATTTGCCAGCACTATTGCCTGCAGGTAACAAAACTTCATCCATTCCTCTCTTTTGGCTGCTCAGACAAGCCTTCTCAGACTCCAGGGACCTCAGGTGGTTACTTCTAGCTCTGAATTCACAGTGCATCGCTGTTAATCCTCATTTGGCAATTGGTCATCTGACATTTGGGAGGGTCCTACATACACACTAGCGTGTGCAGTCTCAATGAAGAATATATTGCCCCACAGTGAGGGAACAGTGGTTCTTGTGGAAAAGTGAAAGTGAAATTGTTAGTCGCTCAGTCGTGTCTGAGTCTGCGACCCCATGGACTGTAGCCTGTCAGGGTTCCCTGTCATTGGTCCCTTGTCATTTCTCCAGGCCAGAGTGGGTTGCCCTTCTCCAGGGAATCGTCCTGACCCAAGGATCGAACCTGGGTCTCCCGCGTTGCAAGCAGACTACGCTGTCTGAGCCACCAGTAAACACCAGTTCTGGTGGGGTGGGGCAAAAAAAGTCTTAGCTATTACAATGGTCTGTGGCTCTCCAAAGGGCCACAGTACATAAACAGATATACATTACGCCTGTGGCATCATGAAGATGGAACCTGGGGATTAGGAAAGAAATGGTAAAAAGGCTCTTTGTGGAGCAGGCAGAGACATGAAAACTAGGTTGTGAAGCATGCCCTGGTGCATAAGATACACAAGTGTACAGGATGCATCCCGATTTTATACAACATTACTTGGAAAAATATTAAGCAATTTTTTTTTTACATATGGGTTGAGTGTGATTTTTAAGCTTTTGGGTTGGGGGGCTTGGTATGGTTAATGAAATACAATACACTGTGTAATGAGGATCCTGAAGGTATAGTGGGATGATAAGAACTTCCCTCTGCTGTTACTCTAAAAACCCCACACTTGGCCTCCCATCCATCACGTGGAGCACTGAAATGCACCTTTCACACCTACAGAGACATACATTTACCACTTCAACCAGTGGAGCAGTGACCTAGGAAGACCACCACTGTGGTTTTGCATGCCACCTCTGGGCGGCAGGTGCTCGACACCAGAGGCTGAACTCAGGCAAGCAGCTCTGCCTCCGTGGAGATAAGAGTCTCCTTTCTCCCCTTGTGGAGAGAGTGGAAGATGCTGCAAGGCTCATAAAGTGACAAAAACAACTTCTTTGTGGAAAATGACCATTAGAAAAAATTTCAAGATTTGATTATTCAGCTGTGGTGTGAAGACCTATTTAGAAAGTATGTGATTCTTTTTTTTTTTTTCCATTTATTTTTATTAGTTGGAGGCTAATTACTTTACAACATTGCAGTGGTTTTTTTCATACATTGAAATGAATTAGCCATGGATTTACATGTATTACCCATCCCGGTCCCCCCTCCCACCTCCCTCTCCACCCGATCCCTCTGGGTCTTCCCAGTGCACCAGGCCCGAGCACTTGTCTCATGCACCCAACCTGGGCTGGTGATCTGTTTCACCCTAGATAATATACATGTTTCGATGCTGTTCTCTTGAAACATCCCACCCNAGCCATCCGTATGTCTTCCTTGGAGAAATGTCTGTTTAGTTCTTTGGCCCATTTTTTGATTGGGTCATTTATTTTTCTGGAAAAAAATATGGAACGCTTCACGAATTTGCGTGTCATCCTTGCGCAGGGGCCATGCTAATCTTCTCTGTATCGTTCCAATTTTAGTATATGTGCTGCCGAAGCGAGCACGAAAGTATGTGATTCTCAGAGACATGTCATTTCCTGGTGGAAACAGAATTCTGGAGGAAGCATGGAGGAGGAGCATACATTGATTTTCATCTTTATAGACTGTGGAAAGTGTTAACTGTTAGTCGCTCAGTCATGTCTGACTCTTTGCAACCCGAATGGACTGTAGCCCACCAGGCTCCTCTGTCCATGGGATTCTCCAGGCAAGAATACTGGAGTGGATTGTCATTCTTTTCTCCAAGGGATCTTCCTGATCCAGGGATTGAACCCAGGTTTCCTGCATTGCAGATATTTTTTGGGGGGGGTTGAACTTTTCTTTGTTATTTATTTTTTAATTGAAGGATAATTGCTTTACAGAATTTTGTTGTGCAGGCAGATTTTTTGCCACCTGAGCCACCAGGGAACCACTATAGACTGTGGGTGTCCTCCCCAATGCCAAGGGTCTGCTACAGCCACACCACTGGACATGCATGCCATGGACAAGAGCCCTGCAGAGGCATGGTGTTTATCACACCTGAGACAGGACAGNCACTATAGACTGTGGGTGTCCTCCCCAATGCCAAGGGTCTGCTACAGCCACACCACTGGACATGCATGCCATGGACAAGAGCCCTGCAGAGGCATGGTGTTTATCACACCTGAGACAGGACAGGATCCAACAGTAAAGCTATCTATACTTCACTAGGCTTGCCTTTTAAGGGACTTTAAGTTTTGTGTGTTTTTTAATTATATATGATGTTCACTGTATGCACTAACACTTGAGAACCTAACCACCCTCATAGGATGGTTCTGCACTGTTGATGTAGTATCTCATTTAAACTTCATAACTGCTCATATCAACAGTCACTGCATTATATCACCATTTTACCAAGATCAAAGCCAGTCCTGAGAGCCCAGAACCTCTTATCCATGGCACCACCCTGCACAGTCACACACTTTCCTGTCTAACCTAGCCATTTTCTGGAAGGCAGAGTTGCTAATGAATGTATCACACATCCTGGTCNGTCCACAAGTCTGTTCTCTATGTCTGTGTCTCTATTACTGCCCTGCAAAGCATCACTACCATTTTTCTATATTCCATATATTTGTGTTAATATACAATAGTCATGTTTCTCTTTCTGACTTATTTCGCTTTATATAACAGGCTCTCACACTGGTCAGAATGGCCATCATCAAAAAACAATACATGCTGGAGAGGATGTGAAGAAAAGGGAACCTTCTTGCACTGCTTATGGGAATGTAAATTGATAGAGCCACAATGGAGAACAGTATGGAAATTTCTTTTAAAAAAACTGGGATAAAACCACCATATGAGCCAGCAATCCCACTACGGGACATATATCCTGAGAAAACCATAATTCAAAAAGATTCATATACCCGTGTTCACTGCAGCACTATTTACGATAGCCAGGACGTGGAAGCAACCTAGATGTCCATCGACAGATGAATGGATAAGGAAGTTGTGGTACATATACACAATGGAATATTTTGTTGCTTGGTTGCTAAGTAATGGAACATTACTCAGGCATAAAAAGGAACAAATTTGAGTCAGTTCTAGTGAGGTGGATGAACCTAGAACCCTACAGTCTTTTAAAGAGAAATGGAGCCTGCTGCATAAAGCTGCCCCCTGTGTGGGAAGGAGGGTCATAACAAGGCCTATCTACATAGTTTTTGTGAAGGCCACCAACCTTGTAAGTGAGCTTTCTCATATTAGTCCCCAAAATTAAAAAACTGGCTGAGTTCTGGGTAACCATATCCAAGAGTCCCCAGGGAGTTCTGCTGAAGAACCAAAATACAGCTCTCTTACCTTCTGGCCAGCCCAAAGTCAATGATCTTAATTTGGTGTCCTGTCTGATTGACACACAGTATATTCTCAGGCTGGGAAAGAAAAAGAAGTTTGCTTAGATTAATCAACAGCTAGGAAGGTCTGAGATCCTACACTTATTTGTCAATAGGCTTGTTTCCCAGCCTCCACAGGAAAGCCCTAGAGGGCAGCCCTTCAGGGATGGATTGATAGTGAAAATAAACGATGCGGGCGAGTGTGAGACAGTGAGTGGTGTGAACTATGAGGACCTGGAGAACCCCTGCCACGTGTAAAAGGGCAGCCACCGCCCAGCCCCAGCCACCGGCCACCACTCAGAAACGTAGGTCCAGTCTCTAGAGTTCCTCAGTCCTCAGGGATCCCAGAAATCCAAGTTTAAGTAAAAACTCCATGCTTTTAAATGTTGACAACTAAATCCAATTTAAACACACATTCATCATGTGTGGGAGTTAAACACGACATATCTGGGATGTAGATTTGGCCCACGAGCTGCTTGCTTGAGACCATTGGCTCGGGGTGGTGGTTCCAAACCTTGATGCTTGCTAGCATCATCAGGGGACCCTTCGAAAATCCTAACACCCAGGCCCTAATCCTGACCAATTAAATCAGAATCTCAAGTGTGGGACCAAATCTGCAGTAGTCTGGTCAAGGAGATCAGAGCTGCCAAATGTCATCCTGCCATTTTGTGGTGACAGTTGTGACCCATGGAATGGAGATAATGGACTTGACATGCTTCTCTTAAGTCTTTCATATCAGCTTGGAGGCCCTGAGGAAGACTGGAATAATTCTTGCTACTTGTGGCAGACAAATTTGAAGGTGGGGAGGGGTTGAGGGCAGATGGAAGGCTTATAGGACAAAGGACCTGGAGACCTAAGGTCAGGGCCTGCAGTCCAGGGGTCCATTACCAGGGTCTGTAGCCCTAGATGAGTACTTTCCCATTCCAGAAATCTCAGTGTCTCCATCTGTAAAATGAGAATAATAATCTCTTCCTGCCTTCCTCCTGGGAAGGTGTAAAGATCAAATGATATAATAATGCATTAAAGACTTTACAGCTTGTGAAGCAAATATCAGGTACTATTTCTCCCAATAGAAGATTTTATTGCTACTTATGTAACAGTGGGGTTGTGAAACTCCTTAGATAGGTTCAGAAAAATGATGATTAAAAATCTTCATGCCTTCTTTATAAGATTTAGAAATACACTGTCCAATAGAAAATATAATGTGAGCTACATACATAATTCAAAAAATTCTAATAGCCACATTAAAAAAGTAAAAAGAAATAGGTGAACTTAATTTTCACAAAAGCATTATTGAAATATAAATAATAAAGATGTGATGATAAAAATTACCGTTTTAAAGTATACAATTCAGTGGTTTTTCAGTAGATAGTTTATCACTCTAGTTTTAGAACATTTTCATCACTTCAGGAAAAAAAAAACATATTCATTAGCTGTCACCACTCTCCATCCTCCTTACTTGCAACTCCTGACAACCAATAATGTATTTTCTATCTCTGTAGATTTGCCTGTTCTGGGAATTTCATATAAATGGAATCATAAATACATATGTGACCTTTTGCATCTGACTTCTTTCACTAAGCATAATATCTTCAGGGTTCATCCATATATCAATACTTGATTCCTTTTCATGGCTGAATAATAATCATTATAAGGACAATATACCTACTGCATTTTGTTTACTTGTTCATCAGAGAGTAAACATTGGTGTTGTTTCTACTTTTTGGCTATTATGCATAATACTGCTAATGACATTTGTGTACAAGTTTTTGTGTTGACTTGTGTTTTCA